GGTGTTTTTGAGTTGATGAGTAGTGCAGATATCACTGTAAATAAAATCAATCGACAGTAAGGAGAATACTTGGCAAATCAGACCATATCTCACTACTGTTGTTGCCTGCGTACAAGCAGAAACTTAAAAGGGACAGACCGATAACAAGGACAGTACAACGATGGAGCGAGGAGTCAGATTCAGCACTGCAGGATTGCTTTGCATCCACGGATTGGAGTGTGTTTGAGGACAATAACATCAACACACACACGGACACTGTCATCTGCTACATTGGGAAATGCATCGATGACGTGGTACCGAAGGTTTCTGTACGGACATTCCCAAATCAAAAGCCCTGGGTAAACGGTGAGGTGCGCGGCAAACTGAAAGCGCGCACTCTCGCGCACACAGCGGGAGATTTGGAGGAGTACAGGAAGTCTAGGTATGATCTCCGGAGAGCAATTCAAAATGCAAAGAGACAGTACAAAGACAAGGTGGAATCTGACTTCAAAGGCTGTAACACTAGGAATATGTGGGCGGGACTAAGGACAATGACTGACTACAAAGGAGCAGCGGGGGGTGCTGCGGGAGTGTCTGCGTGCGCATCTCTCCCAGATGAGCTAAACAGTTTTTTTGCACGCTTTGAGAGCAGCCAGGCTGTGGAGGTACAGAGGGACCAGGAGCTACACTGCCCTTTTGTTTTAAATAGGGCAGATGTGTGTAAATCCTTTAAAAGGGTTAACCCACACAAGGCTCCTGGACCTGATGGCATCCCTGGCCGTGTTCTCAGGGTGTGTGCAGTTCAGCTGGCAGAGGTGTTCACAGACATCTTCAACAGGTCCCTGCTGCAGTCTGTAGTCCCCACATGTCTTAAACACTCCACCATCATTCCTGTCCCCAAAAAGACAATCATCACCTGCCCCAACGACTACCGCCCAGTAGCACTCACCTCCACCATAATGAAGTGCTTTGAGCGGTTAGTCAAATCATTCATCACCTCCTCCCTCCCTGAATCTCTGGACCCCCTGCAGTTTGCCTACAGAGCAAACAGGTCCACAGACGACGCCATAGCCCTCACCCTCCACACTGCCCTCTCACACCTGGACCCGAAGAACAGGAACACATATGTGAGAATGCTGTTCATTGACTACAGTTCAGCATTCAACACCATTGTGCCCTCCAAGCTGGCCATCAAGCTCAGAGACCTCGGGCTCAACAGCGCCCTCTGTGACTGGATCCTGAACTTCCTGACGGGCAGACCCCAGGCAGTGCGGGTGGGAAACATCACATCCTCCACCCTGATTCTTAACACCCGTGCCCCTCAAGGCTGCGTGCTCAGCCCTCTCCTCTACTCCCTGTTCACCCACGACTGCGTGGCCACACACAGCTCCAACACCATCGTGAAGTTTGCTGATGACACGACCGTCATCGGCCAGATCACAGACGATGACGAGACGGCGTACAGAGAGGAGGTCGAAAACCTGACATCTTGGTGCCAGGAGAACAACCTCCATCTCAACATCAGCAAAACAAAGGAGCTGATTGTGGATTACAGGAAGCAGCAGGGAGAGGGACACGCCCCCATCGCCATCAATGGGACTACGGTGGAGAGAGTCAAAAGCTTCAGGTTCCTTGGGGTCCACATCACTGAGGACCTGACATGGTCTCTTCACACCACCACCATCACCAAGAAAGCTCGACAGCGGCTCTTCTTCCTCCGCAGGTTGAGGAGGTTCAAAATGGATTCCAGGATACTCTGCAACTTCTACAGGTGCACGATAGAGAGTATCCTCACTGGCAGCATGACGGCCTGGTACGGCAGCTGCACCGACCTCGATCGTAAGGCTTTACAGAGGGTGGTGAAAACTGCACAGCACATCACCAGGACGGAGCTGCCATCCATGGAGGACCTTTACTCCCAGCGGCTCAGGAAGAAATCACTACGGATTATCAAAGACCCCCATCACCCCAGCCACAAACTGTTCTTTCTGTTGCCGTCTGGCAGACGTTACCGCAGCATCCTGGCAAGGACAAGAAGATTCGGAGACAGTTTCTTCCCGCGGGCAGTGAGACTGTTAAAAAATTGAACTGTTGAAACAACTTCAAACATTCAACTGCTACTCAGTAGTATGTATCTAATACCTAATATATATATATCATTCCAATAACTTGTATATAGACTCATACTGCACTATTCCACATCATAACTTTATTTCATTTTTATAACTATTATTATTTTTCTATTGCTCATGCTCTTATTGTTATTATGTTATTATGTTGCATTGTTGGAGAAGCCTGTGACATAAGATTTTCAACTGCATAATTACTCTGTAGCTATGTCAGATTGACAATAAAGAACCTTGAACCTTGAACTTACTTCCGGGTGTAAAATCCTCCGTTATCCAATGGGAATGGACGCTCAGCTCTTTGGGTCCATAATACAATAAAGGACTTGATCAAATAGGAATATAATTATCTTTTAAATAACGTTAACTAAAGGGAACAATCTCTTTGACACAGCTGAAGCTCTGGCCTTCCTTAAAAACTAACTCATTTAATAAAAATCACAGTTGTATTACACACAATGCACTGTTTTTTGAGAACAAACATTGGTGAATAATGCACCATAATACATTCTGACGAAAAATACAAATTATTATGAATACAAATAAAATAAAAGAAGCCTCCTGTGAGTTACTACAAGCTATAAAGTAGATTTAAAAAACGTTTTATAGAATAAAAGCTCACTGCTGGACGTTGTAGAAATGCGTGTGTGCACCACGACAAAGGAGCCTCATTCACTTTACATTGGGGTTGTTTGCGTGGTGCAGACACGTAAATGTAGCAGAGTGCTTGACTCCACCACGCACTGCGGTGTTAAGGAGTCGTGGTGGAGTCACGCATTCTGGTGAGACCAGGTTGCAAGAACACCAGTCCAGAACCAACAGCAGAAGGACCCGCTCTGAATCACTCCGTGTCGCTGCGGCTCAGAGACACAAGGATTTATGTTTTTCAAAAAGAATCGCGTTACAATCATGTCAGGTTTTTGGTGGATTTAATCAAGTCTTGGATTGCAGAGTATGAATGTCCTCTAGCAATTTTCAGACGATATATACGTGTGTAAAGTTTGTGAAGGCAGGAGGAAAAAAGCTTCCGCGATCACTGTCTCCTCTCTGTTCCTCCAAACCCCGCCCCCTCCCTGAAAATAATGAGTGACAGGCTGATAGTGACCCGATAGAAACTTTATTCACTTAATCACTGATTGAGATATAATGAAGCTAACTTAATCTCATACATTCATGGGATTTATGTAACAGTAAGACAGAGAATGTAAGTGTGCACCCACATGCACTATTTGTGTTTGTATATGCTGTTGTAAATACTCCTGTTGTCTGCTGTGTTCAGACTCAAGTCCTGTGTGTGATGCCACATTCAGGACATTCAGTGTCCTTTCTTTAACAGAAGACCGTTGCTAGAAGCTGCAGCTAGACTGCAGAAGCATTAGTTTTTTGTTTTTGAGGATGGAACAACTTCACACACAGATATAGGGAGGCTAGACCTATACAATTAATTTATTTTGGTTTATAAATTAATGTCAAGACATTTATGTTATTGATTTCTGAAGCACTTTCTAAATAATAAAAAGAGAGTTCATATGTATTGATGAAAAATAAGCCATGTGCAGTAATATAGAAAATTGAGGATGCAACGCATTGGTATGAATCGTGATGCATCGTGATGCATCGGGATATCGAATTGAATCAAATCGTTGACAGGATAATCGTAATCGAATCGAATCGTGAGACCAGTGAAGATGCACAGCCCTAATGTGTTCGGCCACTTACCTCGTACAGAGCTGGTCTGACTGGCTGTCTGCAGTCCAGCTCTGGTTCTGGATCTTTCTCCACACTGGGGACAGGAGGGGTCTCCTGATGGAGGTCTCTGCTCCCAGTATGAGGTGATGCACTGTCTGCAGAACCAGTGTCCACAGCTGGTAGAGACTGGATCCTTCAGGACGTCCTGACACAGAGCACAGCTGGACAGCTGCTCCTCCACAGGAACACCACTCTTCCTCTTCCCTCTGTGGAGATGAACACATCCTTTACAGCACGTCACATTAGTGGAGCTGATTCTCACCAATGGGCAGAGCGTCACAAACGTCACTCTCAAGATGAAATGTGTCACGCTGCACGAATACGCAGGTGACATGAATTTCACCTCTTCACTTTCTTGGTGTCTCCAGGCACGGATCTGGGTCTTTGCATTGACTCTACATGTAATCACACAAAGCTCTGTTATATCTGCTAATGCTAAACACAACCAGCTCACCAGGTTATCACTATTATTAATAAACATCTTTAAAATACATATCATAAACATGCCCAAGTAGTAAATAATGTATTGGACGATATATTTAGTTTTTAGTGAGTATTTATCAATATCTTTGCCATTTAAAACCTTTTGATGCCACTGATACAATGATGCTATAAATGCATATTGAAATATCCTCAAATAATGTTAGCTTGCTGTACTCTGCTGCCTTTGTTCTGTACTATACTGCACACATGATATTATTAAAGAACAGTTTAATATATTAGATGATATAAAAACTGGATCCTCTTCAGGTCAGGTTACAGCAGAAACTCTTACTTTGTGTCTGAGGGTGAAGGTTCATTACTGAAGTCTGGAGGAGACTCTTTAGACCGGTCACTCTTCAGAGACAGACAGCTGGAGACTGGAGACTCTGCTCTCTGTCTGTGGAAACAACACATGTTTTAAACATCATTAGTTCATTCAGAGAGCACATTTTGACTTCTGTCTGTATGTAGATTATTTACTATCGCTGATGACGCCAGGGATCAAGAGTTTAAACGTTGTTACTGTACTGTTACTAAGTTTCTTTACTGCGATCATTAAAGAACAGATTAGATGATCAGATAACATAAAAACTGGATCCTCTTCAGGTCAGGTTACAGCAGAAACTCTTACTTTGTGTCTGAGGGTCCAGGTTCATTACTGAAGTCTGGAGGATTCCACTCTTTAGACCAGTCACTCTTCAGAGACAGACAGCTGGAGACTGAAGATGTGTCCTCTTCCTCATCTTTAAAACCACTCATCTTCCCCAGTCTGAGAGAACACACACACACACACACACACACACACACACACACACACACACACACACACACACACACACACACACACACACACACACACACACACACACACACACACACACACACACACACACACACACACACACACACACACCTTTTTATTACTGAAATTAAGAGCTTCATATATTTTATATACATATTTTAATGAGGCCAATTGAGCAGATAGTATTACACTGGAAAACTAGAACAAACCTTTTTAGTGAAAAAATAATGAAGATTGTTTAGAAAATTCAGCAGTTTTATTTAAAAAGCATGAGTAGGACACGCCTTTTTTGTGCTGATTTTATATGAATATTTTAATGACATTTTAGCTGAAGCCACTCTCACAAAATCACAAGTGTAAAAAAGTTGCAAAAACACCACACTTGTTTACTCCTGTTAGCCACAGATCAACACACACACATGCTGTGTATCCTCATAATATTTAATGTAATGTAATTTAATATAATGTTGGTCTGTTACCTGCTGTTGTGTTAGGGTCAGATCTCTGATCACCACGTGTTCATTAGGATGTGTCTCCCCCTGCTGGAAACACAGGAACAACACGTGGTAAATACACACAATATGTTCTCAGTTAATGAACATTTCTCTAAAGCTTCACTTCATTAAATGCTTTAATATTACCAGTGGCCGACTGTAACTAAGTATATTTCCTCAAGTACTGTACGTTGTTTTTGTTTAATCCAATACATCTCAGAGGGAAAAATTGCACTTATTACTGACTACATTTATCGAACCCACATGGTTTCATCTAAATAACAAATGATCATTATTTCATTACAAATACAATGTTGGAGACATGTCTAGAAAGGGAAAACAGATTTATGTTTTAGAAATCGTTTGCTTCTTTCCACCCGAGATTTACCTGGTGACCTTTGGAGGGGGCCGACCCTTAGGTTGAGAACCTCTGGACTAAACTATCAAACTTTATATTAAGGAGTAAAAAAGCTGCGCTAAGATTAAAGCGTTTGTATTAATAATGTCAGTAATTATGACACACACACACACACACACACACACACACACACACACACACACACACACACACACACACATACACACACACACACACACACACACACACACACACACGCACACACACGCACACACCAGGGGTGTCAAACTCAATTTCATCGCGGGCCACATTAGAATGATGGTTGCACTCAAAGGGTGGTAACTTAAAGACTATATAAATATACATAGATAAATATATATAATATATATAAAATAATGTATTATTTTACAATATTTCCTCTGCATTAGATTATTATCAGATAGGGTAATAACTTCATAATTAGCTGTGAGTTTGACACCCCTGATCTAAACCATCATAATAATAAACTTGGTTAAAATACATCAAATCAGTCAGACTTCAGACAGGCCGCTCTCCATTTTGACTGCGCTGGGCTGTCACATGTTATGTTGCTTTGATGAATCAGAAAACAGGAAATAAAACAAGTTTACAACACTTGTAGAAGTCTCATTGGACTCTAGGACGCTGATGTTCTGACATCCAGTAAAACAGAGTAAATAATGTGTTAGAAAGCAGAGCCTGGTGTTAACACTCACCCTGTTGTCCTCCTGCTCCGTCGAGCTGTAAAATGGCGTTTGGCACTCTGACAAGTCTGACTTCATACTTTCACTTTCAACTTCCCTCCCTCCCTGTCTGCAGCCCCCCCCCCCCCTTCTCTGTTTCATAACCAGCCTTATCAGCTGAACAAGTTCACATATGTTCAGTGAGATACAAATAAAGCTAAAAACAAGCTCAACAAAGTTATTGAAATAAATATATTAAAACCACAGTGTGAAAATAAACCAGTACAAGTAAACATGCTGTCTTCAAAACCTCACTTAAGTTAAAATGTGTAGGTATTTAAGTACTCTAGTGTTAACGTCACATTAAATTGTTCCCTATTATATATATATATATATATATATATATATATATATATATATATATATATATATATATATATTTGTTTCTGGATTAATAACCCTGCTGCATGCATTGCATATATTACTGTATTTTTCCCAGAATATGAATGGCGTTTTTTGTTACTGGTACCAGGGAGCCATTGCATGTTCAAATTCAGACTGTTTGCAGTCAGTATAGAAACCTTGTCCGATCTAGACAGATTAACGTACAGATAAAAAGATACATTATATTTAAATGTTTTTCAGTTGCAGTGCTTGAGTAAATGTACTTGTAATCACCTTGACCACTAGAGGTCGGTGTTACATCAGTTTCTGCATTTAATCACAAACATCCATATGTGCCTTTTCTGTCTTGAAGAGGAATACACAGGAGCGAGAAGTACAGATTGAGTAAAAGTAGAAATACTCAGATCTTGTACTTGAGTAAAAGTAGAAGTAGGCCTGCTCAGATATTGTAGTAAACGTAGAAGAACTCAGATCTTGTACTTGAGTAAAAGTAGAAGTATCAGAGTGTAGGAATACTCTGTTATAAAAGGAAAGCATGAAACATTAATGGCAACACATTCCCCACAATAAACCCCATTTCCCACAGTCCTTGAAGGCGTCTTCCTTGCTGTGGAAACAGCTTGAATCATGAGGCAATGTCCATAAAAATGTCCACGAAGCATACTGCATAGATCCTTTTTTTTTTTATTTAAACATTTCAAAGGTGTATAAACACACATACTGACATGTACATAACATACTGTGATGTAGTTAATCAACCCAGTTAAATTAAACACTGTGTGACTTCATTCTATATGATGTGGCTCTTAGGCATTACAATTATCAAACAACAACAAGCATAACTGGCGGTGAAGAACCTGGGTCCTCGAGGGCCTCCACAGCTGGATCCTCTGCGTCTGATGGGGGGTCCCACAGGTGGAGAGGCCCGATGACTGCGTCAGATGAGTTGAGGTCTGGCTGAGGGGGCGGCACCTCGACAGGTGCCCAGGCGTCTGTGTCTTTGAACACCCAGCTGTTGTCTAATGGGGTCCTGGAATAGTAAGACTTGAGCTTGTCATGGTGGACAACTATTTGGCTCTGGGGCTTGTAAGAGTCGGGAGGACTGATAATTTATTCCGGCAAATTACTCAGACCTCCTAATTGACCTAACCGAAGTTATTGAGTCTATGTAAGTTTGCTGCTTGGCTCAGATCCACCAACGTCAGCAAGATCTCACCTCTATTAACTCCCTGAAGAACCAGGTTAAATGAACTGCTGTTTCAATTCAGACGACCCCCTAAATCTGTTTCAGCGATCCCGAAGGATTTTGATATCAGTAAATGAGGTGTGGCCCTACCTAAGTGTGAGTGTGGCAGTGTGCAACCTTTGAAGCAGGAGAGGAGAGCGCAGATGTATTTTAAGTTGTCCCAATCCAAAAGGTGGGATCAGTTTATTTGAAGAAAAATAGGTCCAAACTTATACAGGGTTTTTACCTTCTCTTGTTACAACATTATAATCATACTAAACCTATCATGCTGTGATCATGTTCTAATATGAAACTTTAATTCACAGTTTTACATTTATTACCATAATTTGTAACTTCAACTGCCCAATTCAGTTGTGACATTTAAAACCTCCCGATAGAATTTAGAGGCATTTCCTCATAAAAGACCGGTGATAATAAAAAGCACATTCAAACTTTCATTCAACAAATCAGTTCATTTTCTCATTTCCACATTCGCATACTTCAACTAGTCCCGCTTGAATTCAGAGGACCTTCCTCATAGGTGGCAGGGTACTAACTTTCAACAAACATCAATTCATTCCACTCATTTCACAAAGAAATTCACTCAGCATTCAACAAATAAATTCGAGAGATATTTACCAAGTTTGAGAGTACCTTACCGAGAGCAAAAACCCAGCTCTCAAGCTGTTCCTCTCTCGCCCAGTGTTTTAAAGCTCAAAACAGGGCAGAAAACCCAAGACACACCCTCTCAGGCTTATGTAACAAAAGTTCATGACCTCTAACAGAACTAAAACATTATTCTCGGCTATGGCAAAAACACCTTTTTGGGGCCTCTTAGTTCTTTATCACTAAGTCAGGAGCCCCCCTCCTTGTGCACCGCTGTAGGAAGAGGGAAGAAACTGCCTCTTCTCTTATCAGTGACACCCATGAACCATCATAGGCCTCACACTCAACTTAACAAACCACTTTGTTTATACTGTAAATATAGAAAATCATAACATATGATGCATTTTCATTGTGGGTTATACAAGAATATAATTGATTATACTTGATTATAATTAACTTTCGTTTTAAGTATTCAACCTAATATGAAGATCTCAACAGGCTCTTTTTGAGTCTATAGATCAGGTCATCCAACATGCCTACAATGAAGTAAGGACCCTCGTAGGATGGCAGCAACCTTCATACCTTGTTTTTAACCCTTGTGGTGCCTTTAATCAGGTGCCAGACTGCATCTCTCACTTTGTGTTGGGTTTGACAAATGTTTTTGTCGTACTGTTTTTTAGCTCGCTCAACAGATTTCCCAAGAGCTTTTGCATGTTCAAATTCAGACTGTTTGCAGTCAGTATAGAAACCTTGTCCGATCTAGACAGATTAACGTATTGATAAAAAGTATATTATGTTTAAAGGTAGGGTAGGTAAGTTTGAGAAACCGGCTCGAGATCGCTAGAATTTGAAAATACTCAACCGGAGAAAATCTCCCACTTCCTTACAGAGCCCCTCCTCCAACACACACGAACGCGCACATGACCAATGAGGGCACGAGATAAGTTTGTGCACAGATGGAAGGCTGACAGGCAGGTAGGCCATCCAGTTATTTTAGCAGGGCCGGCTAAAATGATTGGTCGTGCTTTTTACAGTACTACGGCTTCCACAGATGACATTTTTTAATGGATTTTTTGTCAAAGCACTTCAGATATTCATTGCTATCGGGATGTTAAGAGCATTCCATGGAATATAACACAAAGTGTATCTCGAGCCGGTTTCTCAAACTTACCTACCCCACCTTTAAATGTTTTTGATGTGCAGTACTTGAGTAAATGTACTTGTAATCACCTTGACCACTAGAGGTCGGTGTTACATCAGTTTCTGCATTTAATCACAAACATCCATATGTGCCTTTTCTGTCTTGAAGAGGAATACACAGGAGCGAGAAGTACAGATTGAGTAAAAGTAGAAGTACTCAGATCTTGTACTTGAGTAAAAGTAGAAGTACCAGAGTGTAGGAATACTCTGTTACAGTAAAAGTCCTGCATTCAAAATGTTCCTCAAGTAAAAGTAGAAAAGTATTAGCATCAAAATATAGTGAAAGTAGCGACAGTAAAAGTATTCATTGTGCAGATTGGTCCATTTCAGAATAATATATATGATATGTTTTATAATGATTGATCATTAAAGTGTTCTCAAAGCTGGTAAAGGTGCAGCTAGTTTGAATGACTTTGTATACTGCAGGGTAGCTTGTGAATTTACTCCAGGTGGAACTAAAGTCTGATTTAACACTTGATTATATTTCACATCATTCATCCAGATCTGTAAAGTAACTAAAGGTATTAAATACATGTAGTGGAGTAGAAGTACACCATTTACCTCTGAATTGTAGTGGGGTAAGTACAAAGCAGCATAAAATGGAAATACTTAAGTACAACATTGTAAAACACTTTTCTGCTTTTATCTTGTATATCTATCTCTATGCTGCCTGCAAACACACACAGGTGTCTCATTGTATGTCATACACTACATATAAATGCTCATTATCAGTTTATTGGTGAAGAGGAAGGAAGTAACTCTGTCACATAACAAATAAAACGTGAAGTTATCTTACACTTTCTGTCAATTCATTTCAAGTTTCTTCACACTTCCTTGTTCTCTAGTAGTGCACACACAAACACACAAACACACACACACACACACACACACACACACACACACACACACACACACACACACACACACACACACACACACACACACACACACACACACACACACACACACTCACATTATAATAACACACTTGTTTCAATCATAACCATCATAATAATAAACTTGTGTTCTGATATTAGGGTCATGCAGAGTCAGGCAGCTGTCCCTTTAAGAGAGAGAGAGGGGGGGGGGGTTGGCGCGTGCATGTGTGTGTGCATGGGAGAGCGAGCGAGAGTGAGCGAGGGGTGGTATGTGTTTTTGAAGTGAACGAAGCAGCAGCAAAGGTCTGTCGAGTGTCTTCACAGTTAGATCTGTAACAAAGACCTTAATAAATGCAACGGCCTCCCAAAGAAGAGCTCGCCTGTCTGCCTTATTGAAAAGTGGGTTATTGAACCCAAAGTTTGTTGCTTCGGCCCTGGAAGACTGCAGAGAGTCACATGTTATGTTGCTTTGATGAATCATAACACAGGAAATAAAAAAAGTTTAAAGTACTTGTAGAAGTCTCATTGGACTCTAGGACGCTGATGTTCTGACATCCAGTAAAACAGAGTAAATCATGTGTTAGAAAGCAGAGCCTGGTGTTAACACTCACCCTGTTGTCCTCCTGCATAAGATTGTTCCCTATTATATATATATATATATATATATATTTGTTTCTGGATTAATAACCCTGCTGCATTGATTGCATATATTACTGTATTTTCCCAGAATACAGAATGTGTGCCTCTGCATGTTGAGGTTACAACCACATTAACATTTAGTCTTCACAATTAACTTAAGACAAACACAACTGAGTTAA